AGAGAGGAGAAATTAATGCTTTTACAGCCTTTATGGGTGTAAAAGCAATCAGTGTATAAAAAAAAAAATCTTTATTACCCCCCACAAGTAGTACAGTGTCACTGTCACTATGGTGACACTGTACTGCTAGGGTGACAGTATGTTAAACAGAAAAAAAAACACAAATAATAATATAAAAAAAAATAAAATAAAAATGTAAACAAACTTTTTTAAAAAATTATAATTTTTGGTTATGAACTAATTTGGGTTATTTTTTTTTTACTAAAAAGATAACTGAATAAATTTTGGCCAAGATTTATGGAGAAAGATGATTTAATAGCAAAATTTTATAAGAAAAACACTTTTTTTTTTTTTTTTTTTTTCCAAAATTTTGAAAGCTGAAAATTGGCCGGGACAAGAAGGGGGTAAAAGTGTCCGGACATGAAGTGGTTCAATATAGTTTTAATATACTCATCTACCTTGTATTATAGTTGCCTTGCCCTTTGTCCTAAATAATGAATTTGTGTGTAATAGTGTGTTTTAGTGTAAATGTGAGCTGCTGTATGTCCTATACTAACAGTAACAGTAACAGTGATAAGATTACATGAACTTCAGCTGAGAAGCTGGCACCTGTTTACATGTGGCAATTTATACTTGCATGCTTCAGCCTGTTGCTGAAACGACACAAAGGGCTCTTTGCTACACATTTTAAACAGCAGCAATTGGAAGCAACACTTGGCAACTAGCATAATCTCAGCTGGCATTGGTCTATTGCATTAACTAGTCACTGACTGGATCCCCCCAGTTGGATCCCAACCCTGGATCGATAAATACCACTGGACTTCAACCCCACACTACTAGAACCATGACCTTTACATTCACCATGACCAAATGACCCACACCCCTGCCAAAAATGAAATGAGTATTTAACTCTCCCAAGATTCCACTATCCCCCTAACCCCAGCTGCATAACCTCCACATTCCTTACTAGCAAGATTTTTATTGTAATTGTAACCACAATATATGTGATATTGCATATTCTTTATTATATTGTATGTATCCACCATGCCATGTCATTCTCTATCATTGAGGCCACATGTATATTTGAATATTCCCTTCCACCCAAATCTGTCATTTTAGTTTTCGGTGGAGGTGCCATTTTCTGAAGATAGATAAACGTATGATTGTAGTCACAGCTTTGTATTCAGCACGGTATGATCTTATAAACATATATTATAAACAGATGCTGCTAACAGCCTCATTCCATGTATGTGTGGGTTTTCCTAAAGTAGCCATTTTGAAACAGTTATTGTAAACCTGCCACAAACCCAGCTGATTCAAATGTGTTTAATAATGAAATATTTAAAAACTGAAGCCAGCTCTAGGCAGTTACATTTATATGCAGATCTCCACTGTTCCTGTTTAAGTCATGTTTGGCCCCACCACATTTTCATTTCCAATCCATCCTGTTGGTCACTGAGACCATCCATCACAATAAAGGACCAATAAGGAGCCTGGAGAGGCACAAGAGGCAGAGTCAAGCTTGACCATGACAAAGTCAAGACCTGCATGCATTTTTTTTCTGACTATAACTCTGGCTGTAGTGATCTCTTGGACATGTGGTTTTCATTGAAGCTAATCTTTGCTTATGCCTATTCTGAAAATATGATCAGTCTGAATTTCCCAGTTTTGTGGCACGTTTTCCTTAAGGTTAGTCCTTGCAGCTTCAGCAAACGGATTAAGATTGTAATAATAAAACTGCATATTGTTTTTATAAAAAAAAAATCTTTACTGAACTAATTAAATGTTTTATATATAAGAGAAGTGTGCCATTAAAGTCCAAAAGAGGACTCCCCCCCTTGTATTCTTTAGGGATGTTGGCACCCTGTGTATTATATCCCTTTCCTTCTCTATTGTTAGTGACTATAACAGCTACTAGCAATAATCGCAGGTAAAATCCAGCAGGCTGATTGTACCCAAGCTGATCAATTGATCAACTTTGGTACATTCAGCTTGCTCATACATGGTTCGAATCTCGGTTGGTTCCTGCTGAAGCGGCCGAGATTCTAACCGTCTATGACTGGCTTAACTCACTACATGTGACAATGGTGGTGCTTGGGGATTGGCCCAGTGCTGTCACATGGAGGCTGAGAAGGAGCCCTAAGCCCTGTATAAGCTTTGGCACTTGGAGCCTATGCAAGGCAATTTCTCCTGCTCCTGGCCTTTAATGGAGCAGCAGAGGTGCACAGCGAATGTAAGTGTGTGCTGATGGGAGCTTTAAAAACTGCTTGGTTGAAGCTAATGTTCACTTTTTAATGGCTCAAAAAAGCTACAGTAGCAGCGTTATAGCAGAGAAATGGGGCAGTAGACATAACTATGATTTCTGCTACCTTACACCCTTACTAACCTTTACCCAAAATTAAAATAATAGTTTCCATCTCCTGGTATATATTCAGTGAGGTCTCTATCAGGTGCCTTATAAATGTAATGTACAGTATTAAACTCCAGTGTAATACTATATTAACATAATATATTGAACATTATGAAAAACCAAAGCCAACTTTCAAATGTGTAGGTGGTGAATTACTATAATGATCATTTTTACACATACACTTTGAACCTGTGCTTGCTTAAAACAGCTAATCAAATTCAAAGGAAATGTCTATTTTAAGCTTTCCCTAAAATAACTGGTGGCTTCTAGTGAAGGTTTCCTTTACTAAATTATGCCCACAATGTGATAACCTGTGACACCAGACTTATTCAATTCCATGGTTAAAAATTAAAAGGAAGATTTCAGAATTCGTTTAATACCACTTTATGATGTTGGATGAATCAGATTTAAGTTTTATACTAAACATACGTCTGAGCTGGGAGGGCTGGGTGCTTATGCAGTTAAGATAACATATGGAAGGGCATGTACAGTATTTATTTGAGCTGTTGTAGATGTTATTTTCCCACAGATGTTTATTTTACCCATATATAACCTATTGGTCTCTAGATACAATATCCTAATGAACGAATTTACAGTCTGCAGTATAAGATTACATTCCACTGTGTTCTGAATATTTGTTTATACATTTATTATATCATTTTTTTTTATATACTTATTTCATATTTTGCCATATCTGCATTTTATACAAAGCAAACTGCATATTCTGCAAGACATAAGTATAAAAATGTTTTGTGTGACAGCATTTAAAAAAAAATATATAAAAAATGTATTGTATATGTATATACTGTATATCCGGGTACTCTGGTTTCCTCTCACATTCCAAAGACATACTGGTAGGTTAATTGGCTCCTATCTAAATTGGCCCTAGTATGTATGAATGTGAGTTCGGGACCTTAGATTGTAAGCTCCTTGAGGGTTAGGGACTGATGTGAATGTACAATATACTGTATATGTGTAAAGCACTGCATAAATTGACAGTGCTATATAAGTACCTGTAATATATATATATATATATATATATATATATATATATATATACACACATATCCTTTTTGAAACTGACCATTAATTTGTAGCACAAGCATACATAAAACACACATGAATATTTGCTGCATGCTATTACTTTGGATTTATTTTTCTATTGTATAATATACCCCATATGTATGGGTTTATTTACACAAGTATAACTATTTCGTATGGTAGATGTACAGGGTTTTGACTGAAGAAAGTGTTGGTATTGGAAACAGAAATGCAACCAGTGGGACTGACTTCAGTCAATAAAAGACCCAGCAAGTATGATCGAGCTTTTCATAGTCTCGCCATGTCTTATCCTGTGTCAAATACTTATAACAGAAAAGTGGAAATATTTTGTATATTATTTTTTTCTCAAATCTTTAACATCCATTAAAAGTCGTGATAATATGAAAATATGTCATAAAATACACAGAAATAATACAGATACAGGATGACCTTTCTCTTCCAGCAAACATGTCTACCTAACCTAAAATAGTATTATATACCAATGAGGTGGTTTGACCAATACAGTTAGGGTGGGCTGTCTGATAAAACAATGCCAATTTTACAAAAAAAAAAGTTATGGGGGGTTGTTTACTAAAACTTGAGAGTGCAAAATCTGGTGCAGCTTTGAATAGAAACCAATCAGCTTCCAGTTTTTTTTTTGTCAAACATTAATTGAACAAGCTGAAGTTAGAAGCTGATTGGCTACCGTGCACAGCTGCACCAGATTTTGCACTCTCACGTTTTAGGAAATAACCCCCATGCTGTTGTTTTTTTACTGCTCTTGCACGAGAATATCCTACAAAATATTTCAGAGATCCATACATATATATATATATATATATATATATATATATATATATATATACACCTAGCCTACAGGTTAACACCATATAATGTGGCAGATTTTCTAAGTATCACTGTTATTTAGACTGTGTCCTCAAGAAACCTGATGACAGCGCTGACCCTCACCTTAGTTGCTCTCCCAAAGTGGGCTGTCCACGATGGAAAGGAATTAAGTTGCAGCAATAAATGAGGACAAATAGCCCAGTGTGTGAAATTTTTAAAACAAAGTAGGCCTCAGAAAGCTGGACAGAACAGCTCAATAAACACTATTTGATGCAACTACCAAACATCAGGTGGTCAACAGATATATGTTCACAGTTTCCATTTTAAAACTTACGGGGCCATATGTGAGCCAACATGGATTTAAGAACAAAGAATTATTTTTCAATTACAAAAGTAAACCACACTTACACATACTGTGTACAGATTTCCTCAGATCTGGTTTTACGGTGAGAACGCAATGAATAGCACCTTATCATATCGCTAAAACCCCGCTCTATTGTCCTGTCCCAATCCTGTCAAAACTGATGGAATGGGATTTAAATCAATTTTCCTGTAAGAGGTATATTTATGCAAGCTGTGTCCAGTAAGATGTCAAAATGTTTTGTAAGTTTTTGCAATAGTTATCATCAATCTTCTCATCAAGTGTTCCTTTTAAATACTTGTTAGTCCTGAAAATCTCTTTATATATAATTTTTTGTTTATTTTTTTCTGTTGGTAAGCTCTGTTAAAAATAAATCATAGATTCCCCTGGACCTAGGCTCCGTACACTGCTAAGGACTAAGTTGTCCAACTTATGTGTTTCAGACGTTAAGAAAGAAAGGACTCAATGGTTGTGACAGTCCAGATCCTGATGCTGACGATTCAGTAGGTCACAGCCCAGAGTCTGAGGACAAGTACAGAAAGATAAATGAAGATATTGATCTAATGATCAGCAGGCAAAGATTGTGTGTAAGTACTCTGAACGTTCTTTCACATTTTTGATATATTTGTGATATTTCTCTAAACCTGGCAGGCATTGAACAAGAAAGAACACAAAGGCTGTGACAGCTCTGATCCCGATTCTTCTTATGCCCTCACCCCACGCACTGAAGAAAAATATAAAAAAATTAATGAAGAGTTTGATATTATGATCAAGAGCCATAAAATACCTGTAAGTACCCAAGGTTACATGGCTGGTCTGCTGACTACTGCTGACGTAACACCCCCTTAACCCTTGCAGTGCTGATTTCTCATTCAAAACACTTTCAGTGGTATGATAAAAAAAGAGTCCTAAAAGCAACATAAAACAATAAAACTTATCCCTATGCCTTAAAGCTTTGGGGCATGTGCAAGAGAACTTCGGGAACTAAAGTATTTATCTGCATTTCCTCTTTTATAACTTAAACAACGAACCAAATTGACAGGCCAGAAAATATCAAAAATTAAAAATGAATTTGAAAAGCTGGCCAGTTAGATGCTTAAGGTCAAGGGCTCTTTTAATGGCACATGAATTTTGGGTTATAGGCTGCATCCATCGAAAGCATTTCCAGGCAACAGTGAAGCAAGTTATAATTAACACATGTTCAGCCACCGGGTTAAAAAGACTTCATCAGAGAGCTTCGCTGATATGAAATTGACCACAGACAGAAGGGCAGAGAGATCTTGGTATACTAGAACCCATAGAAGTGAGAAAAGCAGCTTATATAGGCTGCTAAACTCACCCAACCTGATAAAAGCTGTAAGGACTTTTATGGTGCATAAACCTGCATACTAATATCAAGTGGGTTTTTAGGTGATCTGCAGACACCCATAGCACCAGCTTAATCTTCAGAAAACAAAGACAACCAGTATTTCATCCATGGCCAACTGATTTTTCTTGAAAGATGCTCCTTCTAGGGGCTGTCTGTGCAGGTTGCGATGTGCCCATACACATGCAATAGACTGTATCTAGGCATATTTGTTTGGATTGGATGTTGGTTTATCTTATGTTTATGTATACTTTCGAAATGTTACCTAGAATGACAACTCCTCAGCTCAGGCATCATAAAGAACCAGGACAAAAGCTGGTTGAGTGAGGATCACTTCTTTGACTTGCTGTAGGCCCTATATTGCCCAAAGATAGCAAATGGTGTTCAGATCAGTCACAATACTGGCCTATGTATAGATACATTTAGACCAAAAAGCTCCTTATTTTTGTGGATGCAGGCTTATAATGCATAGGTAGAAACATTTGGATAAAGGAAGATGTCTTTGTCAACCAAAGACAGTAAACACCCAGCTTTTGTGTATATGATGTTCTATTTGCGCTAAAATGTAACCTGTAAATATCTACATCTGTAATCCTAATATGAAATGTCAGGCAATGTGAATGCATGAAATCTTGTTACTAGGGCACAATCACGCTGGTGTGCTGGGGTGATACTAAAGCAGTCATAAGCTTTGCTTTTCTTAAGTAGTCTGTGTTCATTTCCATGCTTGTAAAGTAGAGCTAAATTTAATATCCAAACCCTGAAGAAATTCACATGCCTTGCCAGTCATTTAAGAGAAATAACTTTGCATGAGCTTTTCTCTCTTTTGTTTTTAATGTAATGTATAATATGATGCATGTTTACATGCATATTAAATCAGTGAATGATTGATTATTTTTACTGGAGTGGGATGACATATATATGTAAATGTGTGCTGTGGGCTTTTTTTCTGTTCTTTGTTCATTCTGTTTACCGCAGTTATCTTAACCTGTGTAGCACTGAATTAAAGTAGAACTCTAAATGAAAAAGCAAGATATTGTTTACGCTAGAGGATTTTTTTATATTGCAAATACAATGGACCAGCACTTTCACCTACCTTCCCAGCATTTTAGGAGTTTATAATACGCTGTCTAGGACATGATGCCATAAAATAAAGTTGTATCTCTGCCCATTTCCTGTGCTCTATCCTCCTGGTGGCTAACAGTATGTCTTACCTACAGTAGAAGGTCCAATTGTTTCATGGCTGTAGTCTTTTTTATAGCTGGCTAGTGTTATGGAGGAAGTGGCTATAAATGTGAATTAAAGGATATGTAACTCAATAATCTAAATGTATTGTATTGCAGCTTGCCGGTCCTTATGTGTGGGTGGATGCTTTTGGCTTCTTTTTAAAGATTAAGTCCACTTTCTGCAAGTACAGAAGCATACATGTTGATTCTGCAAGAAATCCCATGTACTTTTAACATCCTAAGCATAGAACTGACATCTCAAACAATATTATAAGTTTTTCCAGCCATCTTCTGTTACTTCATAGTAACCATAGTGAGTGCGGTCACTCTAGGGGAGAAAGTCTGTTACTGGCAAAGTCATTAGGTCACAATTAGGGTAACAAACCTAAAAAGAGAAAATTAATGCAGCTACCACATGTAAGGACCAGTATGTTGCAAAATAATGCATTTTCTATACAGTTACCCTTTCCATTACCTACCTGTTGGAGGGTTGTATGGACTGATTGGCTGTCACAGTGGTCACGGGATTGAAAGCCAATCCTGCCAGCTATTATAACCTTATATTTTAACAATGTTATAATTATAATATATTATATTTGAATAATATTATATTTATAATATTGCAATACTATAATAACAAATTATTTTATCATATACTATACTATACTATGATATTATATTATAATACATATTAGTATACTAATATTATAATTATAGCTATTATAACCAGATGCACAATTCCAGAACAGAAACTTTGACCACCATGGATTTAAGGCCCACTCTCCTTGCTGATGCATACATGCATTATGTGGGTGGCAAGAGGTTAATACTCAAATCTTTCCATATGCAGAACATCCCGCTACTCTTCCCTTTTTCTCTTTGTGTATGTGAGATATATATATATAGAATTTTATTTTTATTTTTTTGTAATACTTTTTACACTTACAAAGATCAGGTTACCCTTATGCTGATGTAGAAAGGCACTGATGATAGAATGAGAGCTTACTTAATGTACACAACATGGTGCTTTCCCATCCAGGCTGTCCTGTTAAGGTGTCCTCACATTCTTGAGTGACTAGATAGTTACAATATGTTTTCACACAAGCTCTTTTAGATGCTTATGTAGCAGAGATGCAATCTGAGAGCAGGGACACGAATGCCTTCTAAAACCTCATGATGATCATAGCAATAGCAGCTGTTGGCACTAAAACAGACAGTAGGAAAGGATTACAAGTAGGTGGAGAAGAGGGCATTTCACTGGGTTATGTGAAATCCACAAGACTTAGACACATTCACTTGTCCTATGCAAATATTGATTAGAGAAGGCAGGCAGTTCATAAATATAGAAGGAATTTCATTTGCACCAGAGCAGGCTGGGATGGGCAGCCAGCCCAGAGTACAGTAAACATTGCTGTACATTTGTATGAACTCATTATCACAGCAAGAAGCAATGAGACTGTCTTATCAAGAATTTATTTGCTGTACTCTTCCCATTTGAAAGAGAAGCAGTCAAATAAATGGTTTAATATGTCAGAGCTGCGTTTTAAAACAAAATATATGGACTTGAAAACCTCTGCAATGAAAACCTGAAATAAAACAAATGGAGCCCAGAGTCAATTGCTGACCTTGTGCTCCACAAAAGAGCAATTCAGCCTGTGGTTCTTGTGGTTTCAAAGTATAGGGTGCCCTGGTCTGGAGGCTGGACACTGCCATTTTATACAGGAAGGATGGCACCATCAAAATGACAGCCTCACAGACGCTCTAAACACATGGCACACTAGATCCATTTTTGGTTTGTCTTGCCCACCTGACCACAAACTAGGGGTGGTAAGAAAACATAGGCCAGCAGTTAAAATGTACAACGGTAAGCCTTTGCTCATGCAGAAAGAAAGATCCATTGAATGAGCTGAACTGTGGATTTGAAACATGGGTTATATCTGTAACCACCAGTACAAAAAAGAACCTGACTTCTCCATCCATAAGAAAACATAGCCTGTGCCAGCAGAAAAAGCTGGCTATGGTACTTCATGAAAAGGGTTGCTCAGGATTCTGCAGAAAGAGCCTAAGGACATGAAACTTTGTGGTCCAAAAACATATGATAATAATTAGATGTGCATTTGTACTTTGGAGGAGAACATTATTAGAGCGCTTTACTAAACCTGCTTGAGATTAAAGAGGCTCAGCTAATTACTAGATCAATGTGTGTGGGTCATTGCGGCCACGTTTTACTATGACGAATTGCATCTCTATCGTGTATTCCAGCTAGACCATTCAGGAAAAAAAATAAAACATTGTTTCTAGTGCAGGTAAGAAAATTGAGAAATTGATTGATCTTTTTTAGTTGCATAGACAGTTTTGTTTTCAGACGCTGGTACATAGGGATTAACTCTGCTATGTTAATAAACGGGGACATTTTACAAAGTCAGAACATCAGGCCACTTTACTTACAGTGAAAATATATTCTGCAGCAATTTATGGTTTGGAGAAATCACAATATAAACATGCATTGACGAGTAGCATAATGTAAGAGACAATGGAACAAAAGGTGGGAGAGCCCTGCCCCGAAGTTCCTACAGTCTAACGGAAATGGGAGAAGTGATATACGAGGACCAAGTGCATATTTATAGAAAGGATCAGCCACGTCTAATTATAAAATATAATACATTTATGTGAATGCCGAGTGAACTAATTACCTGGTTCTATTCTGACCAAAATAAAGTGCAGCTAAGGCCAGATGTGTATGAAAGAGGATCGTACTAACAGGAGGGAGAATGGTGAAGTAAGAATAGAAATTAGTAATAAATAGCAATATAGAGGGTCAGATATGGGGCAAGAGACTATAATTAGATACTTCAGGAACACTGGGTGTGAAAATACATTTACACCTGTGTAAAAAAAATGCACATGCGTGAACATAACATACTAGGAAACAGTCAGTGACCTTCATTTGCTGAAGGAGTGGAGATTTTTTAGTTTGACTGTGAATTTTCACTTT